TGAACCCAAAGTTTTTGACCCAGTTCCATAAAGATTTCCCCTGACAAGTTAATCATATCGGGTGAACACTAAAATCGTCTATGTCGTTTTGTAAAGAAATATTGCTAATGAATCTTGCAAAGCAAGAATTTCATCTCCATGAGTTGTTGCAATGCACATTTACGTTAAATGAAGAATATCTACCTCTTTAGGGTATTTAACTTCTAGAGCAGATTACCACTCTTGATCAGTAAACTTTAATAAGCTTTCATCTCCTAGCCTTTCTACCAAACTAATAAGTCACCAATGTACAAAAATGAAACATAAAACAGAATTGTATGACTACTACTGAAAACTATGACAACGGGACCTATTTTAAGGGCGGAACACCTAAAATGATTGATCTTTATGAACATTAAACACTAAGTACGTAAATAACTTGAACTAAACCATTTCACTTTGGCTACTCCTTACCCTCTGAATACAGAAGCTCACATCTAAGTTTACTTTCATTTCTACAAGTGGTTCAGGGGCATTAAATCTACTTTATGAATTATCTTGCGTATTATTTCACTTACCACTTCCATCATCAACAATTGTTGCATTTTCTGGTAACTTTTTACTTGAATGTGTCATATGTAGACGTGGATTAGGATTAGCTGAATGACGATTACGACTTCTTCGTGAGCTGAACCACATACTGCAACCTTTGATTGTACATTTGTGCATTTCTTTCAAATGTACTGCACTGTAGTGTATTTTTAGTGCACCTAAGAAAAAAACAAATAAAAAGTAAGTGAAACATTCAGATGTTTCTAGTTTAAAACTTAATGATTGTTAAAGAAAATCTATACATGATCACAGTAGGATATTTCAGTGAATTTCCAAGCACACAAAGTTCATTTCATAATCAATACTGCACTAACTATTGATCCACCTTCAAAATGTCACACCTTTAATCCAAAGTAACGCTGACTGTTTTACCATCTTCATTTATGTCTTACACTAGCTAATGCATTGCAAATTATTCGCGGATTTACGCATTTGAAGCCTGAAAACGTCAGTGAATTCAGTGGTTATTGATCTGAGTCATGCAGGGTTGTTTGGTTGACCTGGTGGAATCTATCGGGATGATTAGAATTAATGCTTGCAAATCACTCATAGTGTGGAACAGATGTATACACATCTTACTGTTTTCAGTATCACATAAAGCTTCATAAATCTTCATGTATTTCTTCCCTGTATTGTATTCATTTTTGTTCATCACACAGTCATTCTCCTTCTGCACCTACGATGAACTGACGTAATTCTGTGAAAAGTTCAGTCTGTTATTCTTCGATGAATGCAAAGTCACTTATTTAATGGATGCGTACGAAAACCGATTAATGACTCGGAAAATATAATATAAGACTTGAATCAGAGGATTCGAACTAAGTGACTGAAAGACAAGGTATCATCTTGAAATTCTTAGACTTGACTCCACAAATGATTATTAGCAACGAATATCCTTCGTGATTTCCTGGAGTTTTAAACACAAATACACTTTAAAGACCTAATAATAATTTGCTTTATTCCAAAACAGTACTTGTGATACAGAATGGAATTCTCAGCATTTTTACTACAGTATTGCATCCAGTTAGTACATTATCAATAAATAGAACTCTACATAGATTAAGGAAATCTCAGTTCATTATGACAGCAACATATTGGCATGTCGGTAGCAAAGGTAAAGCTGAAACAGTGTTTGAAGGTGTTAGAAAAGTGGGAGCTGTCTTATTAACTGGCGTAAGCGAGAGAAAGAAACAAAGCATCACATAACGGAAAAAGAAGAGAGAGAAAAGGAAAAGAAAGAAAGAAAATGTTGTACCTATAAATGATGTGGGTTGGAAAGACGAGATCCAGTTGTACTACTGACGATTTAATGAATTATAGGTGTCACGCCTAATGCTTTCTTTATCTCACAGAACACGAGCTAAGTAGGGTATGGTTGAGTTTTTGTACTTGCTAGTGCGAGCTTATAGTTTTCTATATTGACTTCTGGTTTTACCTGATGAAATGCAAGGGGAGAGTTGTGAGTGAAGAGGGTGGTGTGAGTTAGATAAAATGGACTTGGCCCATTTTTCACATGAGTCCATGTGCCTGTCGACCAGAATATTAACAAGCTGGTTAAGTGGCACGTTGCTTACCCTGCTGATAACCTTTAACATCCTGCGTAATATGTTACAGTCTTTCTTCAGTAGCCCGGGAAAAACTAAGGGGGAACAATAGAGAATAATAGGCAGGATGCGAGAATTAACGAATTGTAGGAGTAAGGGTTGGGTTATACCAGAATGTTTTAACTTCTTAATGTAGAAGGTAAGACGGAATATTTTCTTAGAAATTGCTAAGATATGAGACGACCAGGAGAGTTCAAACTCATGTGCCTAACTCTGCCCGACTTTGACAAAGTTAATTAGAAGGAGTAGCAATATCAGGAGGCGGTGCACACTATAATGATAATAACACAGTAATAATAATGAAATATAAATTACCTTTGTCACAAAATGATTTTTTGCAAGTGGTACACAGGACACGTTTTTTATTACGAGAGAAATTATATCCATTGCCTTCATTACGTCCGTCTTCTGATGAACTTATCATGGAAATTGAATAGGCTGAATTTGTTTGATTAATAGATGTGGTTACTGTTGATGCTTGTGCTGTTGTTGCATTTTTTCGTGTTTTTACAAAATCCAATCTACGATTTTCATGTTTTCTTTTTGTTGATTGATGTGAAGGATGAACAGTCATGGAAGAGGTCGTAGAAGTAGAAGTCATGCTTGTCACTATTCCCGGAAATACTGTCATTGTTGATGTTGACGTCATTGGTGTTGATGTCAATGATCCTGGAATACAATGACGGCTGTTTTCTTGTAGATATTTAGAATTGAAATGTTTCGGTTTTATTGCACTCGTAGATAAACGTTGAACAAGTGAGGTATTAAGATGAAGGAAATCAGGATCCATACGTTCTGAATTAGTAAAAGTAAAGACGAAACCAATTAGACTTTTTACTTTTTTTTTTAAAGTGCAGTAATATAATCTGCTCTTTTTTTTAAAAAAAACGGTGCATGCAAAACATTTAAACTGAATCGTTCCAATTAAATACTCACTAAGCAGCAGTGTTAGAACTCATCAGGGAGCCTAATGTATTAGCTTAAATGTACTACTTTCCTCATAGTGACTAATACTTTTGAGTTGGATATCAGAAGTTGATGAAATTCAGGATTATAGTAACAGTATTCCAGTATTTTTCAAAAGCTTTTGATTCATAAGAAGCCGTTCTAGAATACAGCCAGTCTAACTGAATGATTACGTCATAGTAACCAAAACAGCTCGTGGATACCATGCATGTCGGGTTCGATCCCGCGACACTCCTTTCCTCACTAAGCCAGAAATAAAAAGCTGGTAAAGAGGAAAGGTTGGGTATGAGGTTAGCAACCCACCTATAAAAATAAACACTACTACAGAAACTTCAAGCCTCTAGCTTGAAGCACTATGTTCCACTGGGAACGTGAAGGAATAAAAAAGCAAAACAGATGAAAAGTCTTTAGTGCCGATAGAAATGTACCAAACAGTTTTATAATATAGTCATTAAGCTGAGTGACTGGACACCACGGAGTACTGTATTCAGCATACGTAAATCTCACTTAGCGATACAGTATAGCATCCCTAAGGGAATACAAGTGTAGTAAGTATTTTCGGACAGCACATTAAGATAAGCGCCTATTATCATACACTACTTAAAGAGACAGAGAATGTATTATCACCACATAATCCTTGGAGCCATTTATATACATCAGCTTATTTATGAAGTAAGCCTTGTTGACAGTATACTCTCTATCTTTAGATGAACAACAACTTCCCTTCCTCTTTATATTTCCCAAAATGAGTAAATACACAAAATACAGAACACAGAAAGCACCAATATTTGTGCCCATAATAGCGTAGAAAGGTGAATCCATTTGATTCGTTCTAATTAAAAATGTTTCTTTTCTACAAATAATTATGATTTGAATATCATTGACGCCATTAGAGAATTTGTAGAATTCCCTAAACCTAGTTTATTTATCTAACTAGTGTAAAAGAGAGATACTGTAAGTAGGAGTTTTCCTCTATCATTCCCCTATCGGTAATAACTAATTAGGAATTATTTTCAGTGTGATGATAATAATAATAATAATAACATAGAAAAATAGTAATAACGATAACAAATTAATCGCTTATTTATTTTTTTAATGTCGCCATTGCCCACCTCCCAAGTGGCAAGTGTAAACTGCACATGTAACTTTCTCTTATAAGCCAAAAGATCAACTTAGTGATATGAATGGAAAAAAGGCTTATAATCCACTTTTTATCTTTTTCTTATATCAAGTTTATGTGTGAATAGTTTAGCCAGATACAGAGAAAGTGTATGTATTTAGGAGGTGGATAAATGGTAGGGAATTACTGTAAACATAAGAATTATAGTTACACCCTACAAAAATGCGCCTAATAAATAACTTTTAATTCGTCCGTGAGAATTCCTCTGCTCTCAGGGCTAGTTCACTTAACAAAAAAACCTAACCATGGTCACAGTTACCACTTGTAGTTTAAAGAGGATACATTCTAATGTTAATCACTTGTGGTCAGATCATTTGGACAATAAGATCTGCAACTTCTTCATTAAGTAACGTAAATTCAAATTTCAAAAACAGCTTAACGATGTAGTTATGCTTTGTCGATTTGCGCCCTAAAGCATGAAATCTTGATTAGTCAGAGCTTTCTATTGAAAAGTCAAAGTCAGAATCGGAAAGTCAAGACACGCCTTCATCAACCTGAAACCAGTTTGGAAATTTTCTGCACTCCACCTCAGTATAAACAACAAGATTCGGATTTTCAACACAAATGTGAAGTCAGTCAGTTCTTCTATATGGGTCAGAAACTTGCACTACGTGTCACGAAAAGGATTTCCAACAAGTTGCAAACTTTTTTCAACAGTTGCCTTCGCTGGTTGCATATTGAAGATCAAATGACCAGCCGGCCAGAGAGAATTAGCAACAAGAAACTATGGGAACAAACCAACCAAGAGCCGATCGCTCAACAAATATGTAGGAGGAAATGGAGATGGATTGGGCATACGTTGAGGAGGCCATCGAATGATATCGCGCTCACTGCAGGCCACTGCTGGAGTGGAATCCCAATGGGAAGTGACGAGTGGGTCGTTGGTGCGAGGGTGACATGGAGGAGATGAGAGATTATGGGTAGTCGTAGACCCAGCTGAAGAGAACGGCAACAAATAGAACAAAGTGGAGATGTGTTGTTGAAGCCCTATGTTCCACTCGGAACCCAAGGGAATAATAAAAATATAATAACGTTGCAGTGTTAGAGATGTGAATAACTTTAAGGTAGATTTCACTAGGCGAAGAGAAACTAAAGACCGAACAGTACTAGAGAGCTTCGTCAGTTTTTGGTTCCAGTATCCTCATGAGCGTTTCAGTAGGTCAACCCGAAATAAAAGTCACAGACACTTACATTCTGAACCAGTAGTAGTAGTTTATTCGCCTCGCAACCTTCAGACGATGAACACAGTAGCCTACAGAGCTGAGGGTTAGTATTAGTGTGAATAGAAAGCTGTCCAGTACTGTTTTGCTTTCATTGATTACCCAACCTGACGTTGATTTCAAACAAAGTTACTCTGAGAAGTATTTTACTTTCTAATGTGTAATTGTTTCATCTATAAAGCTAACAGACAGTCTAACTTCCAAAATTAGGTTATACAAAGAAACCCCAGTTCATTTGATTTCACTTGAATGAATCATCTGACAGTAGTTGAGCAGTTGTTCCTGCATTTAATCCTGATGTAGTCTAATACTACATATACCTCGTGTACATTAAAAGCCTATAAGAAACATCGGATTGGTTTATGAAATGCTAGTGACAAACGGTGTGCGTCGGTGGCACAGCCATTAGGACGCTCGCCAACCATGCACATGGTACGGGGTTCGATCCCCGGCCACAGACGCACTCCTTTACCTCGCTAAGCCAGAAATAATGCTGATGAAGAGGAAAGGTTGGGCATGAGGCTGGCAATCCCATCCTGTAAAAATAAACAATACTACAGAAACTTCAAGCCACTAGCTTGAAGCCCTATGTTCCACTGGGGAACGTGAAGGAAAAAAAAACAAAAGTGACAAACGAAAAGTAATCACAAAAATCGAAAAGAATTCAAAATACGAAAAATGTTTGTGAAACTATTAAGTCAAATCTTGGGTTCATATTAAAAAAATACTTTATTGTTTCCATCCACAGAAAACAAATTTTTAAAAAGCACATTACCTTGTTCCAAAGCTGATAAACTGTGCAAAGCATTCGGTAGCCAGTTGTTCCCACTGAACAGATTGGCATCGATTGAGTTGAATGGAAGTTCATTTAAAAGTAAATGGTTATTATTATTATTATTATTATTACTATTGAGTACAGTTCCATTGTTGTTACTGCCCAAATTCAATGGGATTTGGTTATCATTCCATAGATTTGCACTAACTGCCGGATTGTTATTGCACAATACTGAAGAAGTAGACTTATGCGCTGTCATTGTTGTTGTACTTGTATTCCCTCCAACTGTTCCCACTGACGATGAAGGTGTATTGTTATTAAGAGGAATATTCGACAACCCTCCTCCACCTCCTGCTGATAATCCAGGCAATGGTATCATTGATGAAGCATATTTTGAATGAATAGCTGCCATTAAAGCATTAGTTAACTGTGATGAAACAGGAAATCCTGACGGATTAAACGATGAGTTAATTAAGCTTGGATTAAATAAAACATCTGAATTTGATGTCCATGATGATAATGATAGGTTGGAATCAATATTAAACTGTTCATCAAGTGATTTCATCTCTGCCATTGAACAATTGACATTTGAATTTATCAGAGAATCTGATTTATTGACTGGCGGTTCATTTAACAATTTTGTATCCAAAAAAGACTTGGAATTTCTTAGCATTGAATTATTATTATTACTATTATTATTCAAGAATGGATTTAAACTGTTTAATATACCTGGTGGCAATGGGAATCCACTTACAGCCGCTGCTGCAGCTGCAGCCATTGCAGTAACAAACGGATTATTGCAATTACTATTGGCTAAAATATTATTAATGTTTGTGTTGATTAAACCTCCACTATTATTACTGTTATTATTGCCATTATCACTGTTATTATTATTATTACTATTTAAAGAATTTGGGCTTTGTTCATTCCCGTTAGATTTCATTCGTTTACAATCGTTTTTTCCTATTGTTCTATGCGTAGGTGAGAGTAGACTTGTATCAATATCTTTAGACATATCTTGAAATCCACTAGAATTACTACTTCTATTCTTTTTCATACAATATGAAGTATTATTTATACCATTTGGAGAATTCATTACACTTCCAGTATTGCGCTGTTTATTATTATTATTATTACTATTCTCGTTAGCTGGTGAAACAGATGCTGACGAACTATTAGAAAATGATGAAATTGTTAATGTTCTAGTACTGTTGGGGGATGTTTCAGTAACTGGTGGTGACAAAAGTCCCACAGTGAAATCTTGTAACTTTTTACTTCCACACTTTATATCAGACTTTAATTTATAAGAAGATATATCAGGAGAAATTTGACCACTGCTAGTACAACTGCTGCCAGTACTATTATTGTTAACATTTTTATTCGTGGTAGTAGTTACAGCTATTGTAGAAACAGGCGTAATACTTCCTGATGTGGACAATTGACTTGAAAATGTTGATAGTGGAAAATTACGACTTGTTATTGGACAAGAGACTTTTTGTTCATATGGATTGCTTCCTTGAGATAACATTATGTAGGCTAGTTGACGAGTTTCAGGAAAACGTAAAAATTGTTGAATAACTATAATCTCCTCTTCTGAATTACACATTTCCCAGTGATCTTTTAATGAACCGTTGGAATTCTGAAAATAGAAGTAGAGAAATACACGTAAAAACTTTTGAGATAACTAATATTTGTAATTTATAATGTGAATTTGTACCTTATGCATCTAGATGTTCGTCTGTCACGTCAAAGTACACATTCTGAAACCCTGCTGGGTTTAAGATTGCATTAGTCGGTAGTCGAACATAGACCTCCGATATGGCTGGAGAGCTTGTGTATGGTTCCTTAAATATAAAACGGATAAATTCTTCCCAAATTTGTAAAGTTAACTCAATTATTTCGATAGAAATAAAATGATAAGTTCCTTTCTTGTCAATCCTAATCATAAAATCCTGTCGCCAAACTTCTTTCCATTTAGATTAATGTGTTAAAAATAAAGAACTCATGTGTAATTAGTTATTTATCTTGTTGAACTTTCTAACAGCATTCAAGAATGAGGCACATATTTGTATATCTATCGATACTTACAATTTCTATCTACTTGTTCTAACTGGAGGATATACTGGTTCTGCGAACGGATACTTCTGAAATACCCTGAGTTTCATTCTATATATTACTTGCCTAATGGTGGACAGTAGTGTAATTTATAGCACTTTGTGTTGAACTAAGTTCCCATTAGAAAAAAAGTATTTTTAATAACTTCAAGGTTCATAAGTCCTAAGCAAGATCAAAAGCTTATTTAAGGTTCTAATGGCATCTATTGTTAAGTAAATAAAATGGAATTTTATAATTCTCTAATCCTGGTGGGAGGTCTACTGATCACTTATTTATCAGTTCTAGAATTAACGCTTCACACTTAGACTACCTTAAAAGAATAGCAGAAGTATTGCTTCAGAATTCGTTCAATGTCAGCAACAACTGTCTATCTAAACTAGAAAATAGAAGTAATAGATGAATTCAGTCACGAACTGACTTCATCTAAAGCAGTTCTACCCTGGTCTAAGATTCTTTAGAATTGAGGACTGATAAGTCTATGCAGAAGGAAACACAAAACTACCATGTCTAGCGAAAAAGTAGGTGGTTTGGCAGTAGAGCAGTTGCCGACCATGCATATGGTTTGGGGTTTGATTCCCGGCCGACACACTCCTAAACCTTATTTGGCCAATAGTAAGGCCGGTAAAGAGGGGAAGATTGAGCGTAAGACTAGCGACTCCACCCTGTAAAAAAGACATTGTTACTGAGACTTCAAGACTGAAACCTAAAGTCCTATGTCCCACTTGGGAAGCTAGGAATAAAATATCAACAGTAATAAACAGTAAATCGCCATTTCTTTGACCCATGATTTTCAACCTCTGTTGGATGTTTATATAAACCCTGATCAACTCCACAGTTCTACAATATAGAATATTCCTAAATTTCTATTGATTCTTTAGCTCGTATCTGTTGACGATCAAATCTATCTTGAAATAGCAGAATCAATATAAACTTGTTAACTTACAGTTAACATATATCCTCGACTGTAATCTTGAAATGTCCATCCAAATGTTAACAACAGTCGGATTACATCAGCATGTGCTAACTGTGCAGATAATAAACGATCCAAAAGGATTTTAATACGCATTGGAATAGCTTGACATCCAAATAATGACATACTCAATAACTCCATTGTTGTACTAAGCATTATAGTCTGTGGTGAATTACTTGTTTCGAAATACATCGGTAAATTCATTAATTTCGGTAGAACTAAATCCCAGAAGGAAAGAAAGAGAACAATAAAGAGTTTGTTAATAACCTGTCCCAATAGAACAGACTAAATGTAAATGTGATAAGTAAAGAGTTATAAATTTAGGATTACAAAAATATTTTGTCATTTAAACAAAATAAAACTGAAAGAAATTTTCCCTGAGGTAAAATTATGCTTCAAACATTTCAGTGACACTCTTGTCGTCAGTATCAGTGCACTTTATGAGCTTAGTGCATATCACATCATGATTTGGTCATCAGTGAACAAGGCTATTCGACAGGGCAATCAAGAGGTGATTAAACCATCAAAAATATGAGATATTCGGGACAATGAAAGAAACATGTACCTCTCTGAAACCCCTATGAGTAGGGCGGGAGGGGTATAGTTACCCACTGACAGCCTGAGAAGTAATACCGTAATCTTAGTGGATATGGCTAATACCTGTATTGAATGTATTGAACTTTGACGACCGAAAAGAAGTTGTGAATTTACTGTCTGTCAGTATAAAGTATATGAAAACTTGAGGTAACTGCTTTTTAGACAAAGAGACAAGGTTTAACTTCCAGGTCAACAAACAGTTTCTTTAGATGCTCTTGAGCAATCTGTGTCAGTAACTGATAAAGTGAATGTTCGTGGTCTCTTCACTGCTATCAGATTCAAACCAAATCGATTGAATATTTTTGATTGCACACTAGTCAGTAACTAGTGTAATGCGTCTAGTCCTATCTTCGGTGCAGACTGAATTATATCAGTCATGTTTGTAATGTGCACTAAACTAAAATAAAAAACCTAGCATGGTGGCCACATTGCAAACATGACTGATATAATTCAGTCTGCACCGAAGATAGGACTAGACGCATTACACTAGTTACTGACTAGTGTGCAATCAAAAATATCCAATACAGTCCTACAGGAGGTCAGTCGCGAGCCTGAATAGCTCAGTGGTAGCGTCTCTGACCGCAGCACTGGGTGACGCGGGTTCGAATCTCAGAAGGGACATCAGTTCCTTCAAGGTTGCAGATACGCCTTGCTGATGAGTGCCAACTAGCACGAAACCTAGGTCCAAGGCTTCCTGCCGATTACCTCCAACCATCTAATACCAACAAATCCATTGAATGTGACGCGTTTTTGGTCTCAAGTAACCTGACTTATCACTGGGACTTAGTATATAATTTGGTCAACCGATTTCCAGTACAGTATTAGTTACCATCGGGTAGCCGATTCATGCATGTACCATTACGATATTTATGAATCAATTAATAAACTCGTAAACTAATGTGTAAGCGAGAATTTCTTTTTCTTCAATTGTTAATTGTTTAATTAAAAAAATATGCATATGTGAACACATCAATATACACTGACAAATCTAGGGAATTCTTAACACCTTATATAAAAGACAAAAAGAAGGGGAAAAAAACGGGGGATTATAGAAACACAAGAATTCAAAATACACATACACAAAATGTGAACCTCATTTTTATGACTTCATTTATTATTTTATTGTTAAATAAAAGACAGACTTTCTGTGTACACTCATCGTTATTAGATAGAGTGTGCCTACATACACAGTGTAGTGTCTAGAATAATTAACAGTATACAACTGGTGACTATTAACAAAGTTGTTCACAGTTGTGTTCTTTTTTTTTACACCTGACTGACTAACTGATCATACATATGAATACATCAGTGGATGATATAGGCATACATGTACGTGTCTCCCTATCCCTGAGTGTGTATAAGTGTGTCAATACATACATAAATTCGATTGCTTATCCCCAGTTGCCTATAGAGTGCCTACACACAGTGAGGGTATGTCAGTGCTAGTGGGAAATACCCTACACAATCGAACATGATCTAACAGGAGTAATCGATGCCAAAACAACAACGAAAAATATTTTATGACAATTAGTTAGTCGATTCTCTCCCACCTCTATACATATATTTAACCATGTCCCACTATCCTTTCTCCTAACTATCCTGACGAAACGATATCATCGTCATCTTCATCACCATTATCATCATTGTGTCAGGATTTCTTTACTCCTCTTTATATTCCAGGTTTCAATAGAATGTGCTTTTTTTCTCCTGGTTGTCCTGATATTTTATTGTTTTTATCTCTATCTCTCGTAGTATGTGTACAACATGTTTATTATCTAATGTATACTAATGAGTCAATATGTTCTGCTTCTTAAAACTGTACTGCCATTAGTGTAGTGATAGTAGTTTCTTTGTGCTGCCCTACCCTCACTTTCCTTCATTGAAACAATTGGGTAATAATAGTAACAGGCAATGAAATATAAGCAGGGGAAAAAAGACATAAAATCGAATCATAAATGTGACATTTGATTTTTATTTCTTTTGCTTTCAATATTCATACATGCATAGAATTCTTTTCTATAGTAGAAAGTGACACCCTGAGAGAGAGAGAGAAAGAAAAAGGAAGACATAGAGAGGAGAAGACGTTTTTGTGGAAACAATCAGGGCACTGCACTATATATTGATTAGTTAAGACATTGTTTCTTTTTCTGCAACTATTTCTTGGTGTATAGATAACCGTGTTGATGAAGTTTATCGAGAAATAAACACAATGTAGGTGATTCTAAACGGCATTGAATTCCCTTCTCCTTAATGCTTATCAGTAGAGCACATTTTTAACTATGAGAACTGGGTATAACATCTGAAATTCATAATGGTATCCATTGGATTCCACCTCACTCAATTGCCTATTCGTGTCTTTTCCATTGTGTTGCACATGTATTCATCTGTTTGATAAAAAAGGGGCTTCAGGTACGAAATGTATTTTAGGAACTAAATGTGACACTTATCCTTACTTTAAGTGAAATCTATAAAATGTCGTCTTATTTACAGGCTATAACTATCCAAGCACCTTTATGATGTTTTCAGTAAAGCTGTAACAACAGAATGCAAGGGTCAGGCTACAGATCGTTTATTAAGGAAATCAACGCATATTTATATATTTTCATGTACATTACTATGGATATTTAAGCAAACAAACACAGTCTTCCGATTGGTTGTTTCTCACGTAAAGTTAATCTTTCATCTATTTGTGACTGTTTCTTGAATGTCAGATCATCTATATGTTAACTGTATCCGCCTACGCAAAGTCTGCTGTGGTCGGTTTTGAATCAGTCTTTGTTCATATTTTCTCACGATAAATCTTGAGAACGTAAACATTGACGTAAATTACTGTCTACCAATTTGGCCAGTAGACAGCTCTCACCACAAAGCTACTGGAATAGTAATTAAATTCAAGTTTCAAGTAGTAACATTCAGTTATCTATACAAATATATGTACAAACTACTAAACGAAATTCTTTACTTACCATGAAAACTCCAGGAATGATGACAATTTGTACATTGACGTATATTACTTAAAATAGGCTGGAATGTTTTACACTCACAGTTTGTTGCTGCACACTTGCTTGGTGTTGATAATCCAAGATTCTTCAGTTAAATAAAGACAGAAAGATGAACAAAAACGGAAGTCAGTTAAGCGATATATATATATATATACTACTCATATTTTATCTTTGCAATTAGCCAATATGAAACCGTACAGCCAGGTTTCTACGTGTTGACATTCATCAGTATCTTGAAGAAAACATGCAGAATAACACCCTGTAATATTGTATCTCTTAATTTAGTAACTAATTAGCACACCTCACAAGCATATTCTAATCACCAACAAACTCATCTGCTTAAATGGACTGAAATGCTCTATTTCTGTCGACACTTCGTCTCCTAGTACGTACAGAAGCTTCAACAATGTCTGAAGAATAACATGCTGTTTTATTTGGTCGATTGTGACTAGCAGTGAAATTTAGGATGCGCATTTCGTCTTCTGTGGAAATACCACCACTTACTGGCGATTGCAGGTACAACCAAACAGGACGAAATGCACATCCTGGATTCCACTACTGGTCACCTTCAACTGAAGTAAAATTCATCTGCTGTTAATCTGTATCATTGATAAAGATGCATCATACCGTTTTTCAGCAACATGAATATATTAACTGCGATTATGTTTTATGCATACTGTCTAATTTTTAATTACTGTGACTAAAATATCAACAAGAGTGTACAACACTTGAACATAATTTTGGTGTATCAGGTGAATAAGCAAGTTAAATGAACTTGTTGTTCATTCATCAAAGAAATTTATCTCTTCAGAGACAACCAGTCATTCTTTTTCTAAAGAAAATATTAATAGAATTTATTCAGGTGAACGAAGTACTTTATGTGAAAAGATTTCCTCCTTTTTAAAATGAGGAAAGAATGAGAATCATATACTGCATAAATTTACAACCTCTTGGAAAGAATAGTATGTTTCGAGGTTAACACTCACCAGTCAGTCCCAAAAGGATGCTGATGATATTAACTGATAATGACAATGGTTTTCTGACATCATTATGTACTTCTTTTATGCGACTTTAAAACGGGTCACGAATTAATCGTAATATCATTTAGACTATCACTCTAGAGTGTATTAAGGCATCAGCAAACAATTACTCTAGAAACACAACAAATATAGCCTCAGGTGGATGATTTTTATGCAGTTGTGTTTTCTGAGCTGGATGGTTTATTTGCGAAGCTTACATGCCTACTAGGCAACATCTTCAGGGCATACTTCAATTGAAGTATAAAGAAGATGTTGCCTAATGGGCAGTGAAAGCTTCGTAAATAAACCATCCAGCTCAGAGAACACAACTAAATCAAAATGTAACATCTGATAACTGTATTCATACTTTGATTAGTTAAAACGGTTTAATCGAGGTATGGTTCTTTCCTGTTAAAAAGAGTCAAGACATCAGTGTACATCCCACGTTATCATTTTTTTATTCCTGTACGTTCCCAGTGGAACATAGGGCTTCAAGCTAGAGGCCTGAAGTTTCTGTAGCAGTGTTTATTTTTACAGGATGGGGCTGCTAGCCTCATGCCCAACCTTTCCTCTTTACCAGCTTTTATTTCTGGCTTAGCGAGGTAAAGGAGTGCGTCGGTGGCCGGGGATCGAACCCCGGACCATATGCATGGTCGGCGAGCGTCCTAACCGCTGTGCCACCGACGCTCACGTTATCTAATAATGAAAAATATCATGCCAGTAGATGATCAAGTTTACCGCTTCATAAAATGATTCCCATTAAATGAGGGTGCTTTGGATACAACTGAGAAGAAAAACGGAAATACATATTTACCTACATAATTTACACATATTCTCAATATTAATTCATCCTACTTATATCTATTTTCAGAGAACATGTAGGCTGAAAATCCAAACTTTCTTTTTATCCCATCTGATTTAAGTTTATTTGTTTTTTTTATCACTACTTTGCATAAAATATTACTATTTGGTTACTAAGACAAGATTGTACTCCCATTATTCTAGAGATTGATAAATTATACAGGGATAATAAATATAGATTTTTCATTTTTTTAGTATAGTATATATCTTGTCTACGCATATCTGTCATATAATAAAGTGTCTGAGAATAGTGGTCTTATATACATATATGCACCTGTACCTTGGGAATAACATATCCAGCGTGTTTTCTAGTTAAGATCTAAGAGAATTGTGGTTTTCTATCTTAGATAGTGGATGTGTTTTTTTAAGAAGATGGTGATATTAGGAGACGATATGATATCTTGATCTCAGTTCTGTACTAGAACATACACAAACACACACATACATATATGCACACACGAGTTTGAACTACCCATCTCCCCTAGATACAAGAGTATAATTAAGTGTGAAATGAATGAGTGTCTAGTATCATCATTTTTTATTTGAATGTCACGCGCATGTTTTACATTATATTATCTTAAAAATAAAATATACGGAGAGTGTGTTTTTATGTTTGGTTTAAAAAAAAAATCCCTAATTTATGAAAGTTTTAACGAGACTGGTGTCACTGGTGTCCATGATGAATGGCTGTGATACAGCCATTGTTACTTTGGCAACTGAATGAAATGCTTGATCGTGATATTCTCATTATTGAAAAAAACCAAACACACACAACCTGTTATCGTTCAATTTGTATGAAAACTTGTAACTGCAATTCTAATTAAAATGTTTAAAATAATAAATTATTATTTTTTTAAAAAATTTTGTTTCAAAAACAAACACATTTTATGACATGTTCAACAGCAGGAGTGATATTTTAAAATAAGGGGAATAGGAGAGGTGAGAATATGTAGATGCAGAAACATTAATTTCCAGATCCTTTATAGATTGAAACTGATTAATGATTATTCCTGTGATGTTTGTCTTCAAAAATATACACCAGAAAAAATTCATTACCATAACTTAGCGCTGGTGTTGATGTAAAGCTTTTCTTTCAGAAGAAAGAGGTAGAACAACGAGAAAAACTGATGAATTAACTAAAATGGGCGAAAAGAAGCAAATATTTTAGTGCGATAACTCCGATTGTTTCGTTAAGATCTGTTTAGGCCACAGGGAAATTTCATCTTCTTGTTGTACCGAAAAGCCTACGTCTCAAGGGAACAAACTCTTATAATAGCGCTTTCACCAGACATCTCCTTGATACGGGTTATCAGGTGGAAATCGCGAAATCCTTTAAAATTATCAATAGACAAAGGAGCTCGATTCTCCTCAAGTTTACCGAAGCAGTTTCTATCAAATGCTTGAAACCAGATTTATGTGTTCAGAAAGAAGCGGTTACCAGTCTTTCCTTGCCCATCCTGGTAACTGGATGTCTTTATTCTCTCGTTCATTTGATTACGTAATCTTTGGCTTCAACCTCACTCCCCTTTGATATAGTGTAATTTTGCTTGTCTCTTGTTTCTATGATTTGAGTTGAACTCAGTACATTGTTACCTAATTTATTAGTCACTCATCATCTTATGCATCTCTCTTCTTTATTACGTAACTCCTTTACCATTGTATGCATACATTTACTTTGTTTAAGCCTGAACTGCCTGTGTAACAACTATATAAGCGTAATTTTCTGAGCACTGTTCACTAATGGAGGAACCTTCTGTCAACTGACATCATGAAAAATTTGCAAGTATTTTAAAATTTTTCTGTACATGAACTTGGTAATAATTATTTAGGCTGTAAGCAGCTGATGAGAAACCAACGAAATAAGCAATGATGGTACCATATTATCCTACGAAAACTGTTGTTCTTGCTTTATTCAAATTCACTAAGGGGAATAAATGCATGAAGTCAACTTGCTATCTTTATATCAAGGATACAGTTAGTTCTCCTTACTTGCACTGGACAATTCTTATTGTTTCTGACAAAAGTTTTCTCGTAATATTATTATGTAATTTGTCATTTGAAGCAATTGTTGTTATGATACTGGTTCATGATAGTGGAACTGCTTTCAAGAAATACTATTGGAGTTTTTTGGATTATGCAGAATGGTCTAGAATGGTTTAATTTCCTAACTTCAAATGTTCCTGAATACTGCAGCTGATCTATGCATGATGAGACAGTTATCAGATTAATATTTGTTCTGTCCACAGGAATGATAAGGTTATTTTCAGGGATCTTTTTTGGGTGGGGGGTTGTTGTATATGTGGTTGAATGCATGGGATTACGACGCTTAAAAGTGAGGCACAGTGAACACTACACAGAAACTATATGTCTCCCGTCAACTTTGACGGTAATAAGTTACTACGACTGAATAACGAAAATCAAATGAATGAAATATTTTCAATAGGGATTTGACTGATTGGTTACAGGATTTCATGATGAGCTGACATCAGTTAGAGAACCGCTGAAAAACCCAGGAGTACTGGACAGCTGTTACGTCCTAGTTTGGGACTCTTCAGAAATACGCACCCACCGACAAGGTTCGAACCCAGGACCTTCTGGCTACAAGGCGAGCTCGTAGACCATTAAGCCACTGGGACCCGATCCAATGGCCAGTCCGTGAACTCCAACTTCTGCCAATTCACAACATAGTGCGACCACTAGCCAATGTCATCGGTGAGTATTTGTCCTCACACCCGACCTGCTGCACCCTACTGGTCACGACTTCCCAACAGAATCCAGGCAACTACCTACTTGAATAGGGCATGATTGATTTTGTTTGGTAAATTGAACAGTTACGTATATTCAAAAGATGTAGGTAATTTAGAAAAATAGTAACCTAATAATGAATCTTCACCAGTAGAGTTAAAGATAAATTTCTTTACTTGATGATAATTTCTCTATAATTTAATTTTCTACCTTAGACTTTGTTGCAAATGAAATACAGTACGGTGATGTACTAGAGTCAATGCAAAGACATTTTACAAGACTGCTCATCTGTTGTTAACTGCACAGTACAGCACTTTCTTTTCTTCAAAACATGACGATACAATATTCACTTACAGCCACAGAATGACGACAGCATGTAAATCAGCCAACAAATTAAGAACAGCTACGCTTACATACTGACTGGGTGAGAATTAATAGCCTCAGGAGGACCAATACTCATTACTGTTATTCTATTATTTCTCACTAATAGAAATAATTAACAAAAGACAATCCTAGATAGTTTATTTGTGATAATCATAACATATAGTCAACGTTATTTGTTAATCATTGAGACTTATTCTTTGATCTTAGCTTTCCATTGGTATTAACCTTCCTAATAAGACTGAAGTAGAATTTATGTAAAGGCAATACTGATACATGATTCAAAATTTCCAGAGGATAAATCTATGTAGGACTGAAATGAATCAATAATGCCTGTCAGAATTATAAGTTTATTATACAATCTGGAGGAAATTAAGTAATGATAAAAGCATACGACACGAAACACACTCCTCCTAGGTATATGTTTTCTAAAATAGGAGACTGGTATTTGCAGTTAAGTTAATAAACTCCTTAAATGTGGTGTGGTAATCACTGTTGACTTCCTTGAAAATTGCTTTCACTAAATAGTTATGAAGAGAGCCTACATAAATGAATATTTCACTTCTTACCGATACTGTTGTATGTTTTTTCCTCATTTTTTCCTGGACTACGTTATTTTAATAATAATAATAATTTGCTTTATTCCCAAACAGTACATGTGATACAGAATGGAATTCTCAGCATTTTTACTACAGTATTGCATCCAGTTAGTGCATTATCAATAATTAGAATTCTACATGGATTAAGGAAATCACACTTCATTATTACAACAACACATTGGCATGTCGGTAGCAAAGGTAAAGTTGAAACAGTGTTTGAAGGTGTTAGAAAAGTAGGAGCTGTCATATTTACTGGCGTAAGCGAGAGAAAGAAACAAAGCAGCACAAAAAGGAAAAAAAAGAGAGAGAAAAGGAAAAGAAAGAAAGAAAATGTTGTACCTATAAATGATATGAGTTGGAAAGACGAGGTCCAGTTGTTCTACTGAATTATAGGTGTCAGGCCTAATGCTTTCTTTATCACACAGAACACGAGCTAAGTAGGGTATGGTTGAGTTTTTGTACTTGCTGGTGCGAGCATATAGTTTTCTATATTGACTTCTGGTTTTGCCTGATGAGATGGAAGGGGAGAGTTGTGAGTGAAGAGGGTGGTGTGAGTTAGATAAAATGGATTTGGCCCATTTTTCACATGAGTCCATGTGCCTGTCGACCAGAATATTAACAAGCTGGTTAAGTGGCACGTTGCTTACCCTGCTGACAACCTTTAACATCCTGCGTAATATGATGTTATAGTCTTTCTTCAGTAGACCGGGAAAAACTAAGGGGGAACAATAGAGAATAATAGGCAGAATGCGAGAGTTAACGAATTGTAGGAGTAAGGGTTAGGTTATACCAGAATGTTTTAATTTCTTGATGTAGAAGGTAAGACGGAATATCTTCATAGAAATCGCCAAGATATGAGACGACCAGGAGAGATCAGCAGATAGAATGACGCCTAGGTATTTAATTTCCGACTTGGTTTCTATTTCAGTGCCGTCTATGTTGCATACCTCGTGAGAGCCAACCAGTTTGTTTTGGTCGGATTTATGCCTAAAGGTGAAATTGACTGTTTGGCATTTGGAGGGGTTTAGGGTAAGACCATTTTCCTTGGACCACTGGCTGATTTCTGACAGAAAGCCATTAAGTTTAGAGCAGTCGCTTTGACATTTGACAGGCAAAAATACAGTCAGATCGTCAGCATATTTGACAAAATTAATGTCATTTGAAGATGGTAAGTCATGTAGAAAGAAAGATGCAACTGAAGTTTCCATCAACACGGATATCATGAATAAGTACAAACATTCAGCTGCTCAACTACATAACTAACACGTCACAATTACTCTTCGTGTTCACGACTCCTCATGATCCATAACAAGTTAATATAATAATAATAAAAGAGCAGTGATAATAAATGACACAAAATCATGGACTAATTACTTACAGAATTCCACATTGGCAAAGCATCCGAAACATCTAATTTATTTCGCATATCCACCATACTTGCTTGTGATAATAGTGCACCTTCTTAGACAACTGTCGATGAGTTTTGATTGTATTACGTAATAATAGTAATAATAATAATAATGTGTTGAAGAATGTGATCAACACTGTTGTATAAGTGTAATGATAACTGTGAATATTCACTTGATATCCGTTAGTGTTAGGTACTACTGTTGTTGGTTTGTTGTTTTCCAAATGAATATTGGGAAAATGATGAATACTAACATCATTCAGGAATATTTGTTTTGTCACCTTACAGGTGAATACATGCTCTCACTGTTAGTGGTATACAGTGACACACAAACATACACACAAGCACTTCATATCCTATCATTCCTGTTGTTATTATTATTATCATCATTATTATTATTCCTGTGACTGTTATTTGATGCACATCTCGGTGGACAGAGTGTGTATCAATTTTTTTTGCTGTTGTGGGGAACGAAAATTTCTTACCCTAGTGTGTATAAGGCATATAAGGGAGACACGGAGGAGAGGAGAAAAAATAAAGTCTCTTCCTATCTAAACGTTGGTCACTGTAAAATTTGTGAAATACGAAAAGACAGAAAGACAGACGAATGAAACCACTAACTAATCTAGCCTATATAATAATATGAAAATATGTACAAGTGTAACTTTATATACACATATATGTATGTATATACACAATATATATTTACACTAACTAACTAGGGGACCGAAATAGTTTCAAAGTCTTAGGGGTTATGTGCATAATGTCATAGTAGGTAGTTTGGTTTATTCTGTTGCTTATGTGTTGTTACAACAGATTCTATAATAAACACAAATAGTCACTCTCCTCTATCCTCCTGGTTGAATTCTCAAGCCCACCTGGAGTGATCAGGTTAGACAAACTTTTATTGGGACACAAAAGTACGTGAGTTTTTGTCTTGAACATTGACTGTATGCGTGTGTGTGTATGTGTGTGGACGTGTGTTTTGTTAGAGGAATGTGACAAGGAAATAAGATGATAATGAACGAATAATATTTTTATTTGTTTTCAATTACTTTGGTCAGACTAAAATTTTTACCAGCCTCCATTTATATTCAACCAATGAGAATTTAATATATTCCGTGAAGAATTTCATGTCCCAAATATGCATCTATTTATGTATTTGTCTAAACGACTTGGCGTCATACCGTTTTACAGGTAGAAGAGGACAGTGTTCTGTTGTTGTTCGTCTGCTTTTAGCTAGTTATCTTTAGTGTTTCAGCTTTACATATCACAGCATCACTTAACCATAGCCAATTATAAAAGCATATTAATATATGCCTATTTTTCAAAAGCACTACAGATTGCTGTATTGGTGTATTAGGACGAATGTGCGTCAATGAATATTGGCATACTTTAAGAAGGAATGGAAACTATTGACTGTCATATGCAGGTGATTAGTGTATAGAGAAAAGAAGGACCGTAAGGAAGCATTATTAGTGAAATTTATTCAATGTATATTCTATGCATAGATAGATAGTATGAACAGTAGAAATGTCAGTGAATGAAATACCAGTCTAATGGACTAAGTTATGCATATCACTACATACAAAAAATATAAGCTACTTTTTTTCAAGTATTGGTCTGTAGGGACTTGATAGGCTGGTTACAGGATTTCATCATGAGCTGACATCGGTTAGAGAACCATTGGAAATCCTGCAGGGAGTATTGGACAGCTGTTTCGTCAGCCTAGTTTGGGACTCTTCAGCAGTACGCACCCACCGGAGTTCAAAATATTCTAAAACGGGAAGTATGCCTGGTCCTAAATACTCACTGTGGTTTTACTACAAAATGTGACTACATAGTATTAACTGTGAAGGAAGATTTAACTGTAAGGATGCTAGTGACAGTAGACTGTCTAGTGAAATAACTTATAACTAATAACAACATCAGGAACCTGTTTATTCGTTAGGATCTTCAAGACTCTACACATTTTATTAACCTTCTATCTATTCTTTCCTATTTCATAACTTTCTTATGGCTTTCAATGACTTATTTGATACCATCATGGTAGATCCTTCATCTAAGAGCAACCTTTATTATTCATTTGCTTTCCGAGTGAAACGTACGACTTCAGGCTTGAGTAGTCGTACTGTTTTTACGGGATGAGATTGCTAGTCTCACACCCAACCTCCCTTCTTATCTGGACTTACTATTGATTAGCAAGCTGTGCAAAGGTTAGGAGTGAGTCAGTTGGGAATCGGACCCCGGATCACACGTGTAATTGGTGTGAAGACCAACCTGCAAGTAATAAATGCAAACATTTTTTCTGGTCAGTCCAGTTATCAGACCATACATCTTCTAGATTCAGTGCTAAATTAAATCACTTAAATCAGAATGTAATTTTTATATAAATAAATAATCTAATCAGACGCTTAAGTACGAAGAGACGATCAGTACCATTGGTATTACGACTAACAAGCTCCACAATGAGTATTATTATTGTTTCCTTTAATTCCTGGAGGAAAATAGGGCTTCAGCCGTGCGTCTCCATTGCGTTCGGTTCTCCGCTAGAGTTTTCACTTGGCTCCAAGTCTGCCCACACGTTTTCATCTCCTCTTCACATGACCTCCTCCAAGTCACCCCACCTTTGCACTGACGACCAACTCGCCGCTTCCCTTTCAGGTTCCACTCGAGCAATGGCATGGCGTGTGATGTCACTCACTTGATGGTTTCCTCAGAGTATGGCCAGCCAATCCATCTCCATTTCTTCCTGCCTATTTGTTGCACAATCGGTTCCTGCTGTGTTGGTTCGCTCATTCCCAGAGATCTCTGTTGCTGATCTTTTCTGACCGGCCATCTGATCTTGAATATTGAGCGAAGACAACTGTTGATGAAGGTCTGTGGTTTGTTTGAGATGCTCTTTATGACGCGCAGTGCAAGTCTCTGATCCGTATAGTGAGTAGCACTGACTGACTTCACATTGGAGTTGAAAATCCGGATCTTAATTTTGATGGTGAGTGCTGTTGACCTCCACAAAGACTTGAGAGTAGTGAAAGCTTGTCTTGCTTTTCCGATTCCTGCTTTGATATCCTCGTCAGTTCCGCCTGTAGTTGAAACGATGCTTCCTAGGTGGGTAGGTAAAAGAGGTTGTTTCTTTCATGTTCCTCCCATTTATGCTGATTGATGTCTGTTGTTGTTGCTGTTGGTCGTGTGAAAAATGTCAGAATTCTAAATCTTACAATATTAAAAGTCAATCGACTTCCGTCATCCTTTCCCCTAGAGTATTCTGAAGCTCCCTCCAATTTTCTCCTGACTTATATTTGTTAGATAGCCACATAGATTGTAGTGAATAAGTTATTTACCTTTCTTTATTGATATTAGTACTGAGTGGTTAATCTTTAGACCTTTTTCTTCTGAACACAATTCTATTCCAGGATGTCTCAGTTAAAGATGCTTTAGATCAATTTTCTTTCTAAGCATCAAGTTAAACTGGAAAGTAAACCTTACTTCATGTTCAGCTGGAATCTGTCCTGATAATTAAATACAGCATATCTTTAAATCATGTGTTCCGTGGAATATTTTGTGACTTCGGAAGTACAATTAACTTTGGGAAGGAGGATTAAAGGTAGTCAGTAGAAAGTTATGGATTTATGTTTTTAGCCTGCTGACCCTTTTCAGTAGAGTATTTCTCCAACCTACGGGAATTTGATGCTGCCTTAGAGATTCAAACAGGTATCAGTAACAGATCGAACAACCTATCAGTGACGTTCTTAGTTATGGGACAGAGTGCTGTTGATCCGAATCTCCTTGGCTGTATCATTTTCCTTTAGGTTGAGCATGTTCTCTTCTGATGGGTTTTAATAAACACGAAACCTAGGTCTATGGTTTTTTCTGATTTTCTTCTGCCGTCTAACAGCAATTCATATTGAACCGTTATTGTCAGTCTATATTACAGTAATCGTATAGCGAATTCGATCTATGGAATTTCATCAGTACTGAAAGTTAGATAAAATGATACTGGATATTTCCTCCAGTAACCAGTAACTGGACAATAAGTCCTGTGAAATAATATCAATATATCTTTTGATCTATAATGACATTTCCTGCAAACGAGTATGGTATCATCGGTTTTGCAAAATGTCTTCATGTTATCATATCAGTTCATTCTGATTTTCAAATTACCGTTGTTATTTATATCCTATAGCGCTAATATGAATGTAATTTACGGTGATAAATTTGTATGAACTATGTTCCTTGGTATTTAACACTAGAAAATCTATACAGAATCTCCATTCCTGATATGTTATACGTTAGCTAGAACAGATAGTTAAACGATACTAGTATATAGAAATCAACATTTTCTTGTCATCAATGTTTTACTCCACTTTTGTCCTGTAAAGTAATATGCGAACTAAATCTAATGGAAGTCATTTGATGATTGTTTGAAGTGGCATTTTAGGCGAAAATTAAACCAGGGAGTACTGAACAGCTGTTTTATCCTAGTTTGGGATGCATCGGCAGTACGCACCCACCACCATGGTTCGAAACCAGCACCTTCCGGTTACAAGTCAAGCTCGCATACCATTCAGCCACTGCGACCCGATTCAGTGGCCCGTCCATGAATTCTAATTTCTACCAATTCGTGATTTAGCGCGACCACCAACCAGTGTCATCCGCGAGACATCCATCCTCACACATGACTGGATGGACCTCACTGGTCACGACTTCTCACTAGAGCTCCAGGAAACTCCATCCTGTAGCAAGTCACTAGCGAGCATCAGATTAATTTTCAGGAGTTGGTTTGTAAGGATTAGATTTGTTTTCACGAGTTTGACCACGGACTGATATCAGTTAAAATTCATGAGACATTGAGGAATCAGGTCACAGTGGCTGAATGGTCTACGAGCTCGTCCTGTGACCAGAGGGTCCTCGGTTCGAACCCTGTCGGTGGGTGCGCAAGAATGAAGAGTCCCAAACTAGGCTGATGAAACAGCTGTCCAGTACTCTCAGCTGATTTTCAATGGTTCTCCTGTGGTGAGAGCTGT